TTGACAAGGTAGAGGTTCAAGTTAACATTCCATCATTCACTGGAAAACTTCTGCTAGAGCCTCTGCTCCCCAGCTATTTTCATGTGAAAGATTTTCTTAGCTTTGTTCAGGCAGTTTTACTGCTAAAAGGTTGGGGAACTCATCCTTTTAAAGACTGTCTTTATTAATTTATTTTCACTTCCCCTGAGAAATCTTTAGTCCCTAGTGGTAGGTGAAAATACCTCCTCTTATGTGCACAGAGATCAGCAGTAACCTTTTTTTAAGTTTCTACATCTTAATATTTCCTCCTCCCACTCAAGCTCTTTGTAGTACTGGGTACTTTTCCATAGGAAATCTAATTCACTTTCTTGAGTACCCAGCCAGCTGGTTACCCGATTTTCTTTCTGCTAGAAGTAATCCCTTTTATAGATGAAGAATTTGTTCCAGCAGCTGATTTGGCTTGGAAGGGAGAGATGTCTCTAAGAATGCTTGAACCATATCTAGTTGGAAGTGAGACAAAAACATTTAAGGTATCTGGTAAATGGCCGTAGAGGTAGCTTCACTATAACTCTGGGTCAGGATTGACACTTAAAGCAAAGACCCATTTGAGAAACTGATGAAAACTATGGACCCTCTCCCTAGGAAAATATACACATACACAACATTTTGCATTCTGTTTTAGAGCATCTAGACATCCATGGACTCTAGGTGAAGAACTTTTGACCTAAAAAAATAGAAATGTTAATATTGTATATTTGTGTATCATTATGTTGCCTCTAAAACCTTCTCACATACATTATTGTATTTTCTCAGCACACATTTGAGATAGACAAAGTAGGTATTATTGTCCCTATTTTACAAATGAGGATTACAGATGTTAAGTACTAGAAATGTTAAGAAATGGAGATACAAAAAAGAACCTCTGATCACCATCCTTTGTAGTACTACTTTCTGTACTTAAAAAGGAATTAATTTGTCTTTTCTTGGCCTGCTCTTCTGTAGGGTAAATAGATCTTCTATCCTCCCCATGAGTCCTATTTTTCTTAATGTGTTAACCGTCTATCCTTAGCCTTAAATTGTAGAAATCAGAATTAGACCCAGTTCTCTTTATATCCTGTGTTGTGTATAAAGAAAGGATCACCTCATTCCATTCTCTGACCTTTGAAATAACCTTTTCTTTTCTGCCTATGAATATGCCTCCATGGTCATAGCCATAGATAGGATAAAATGGTTGGTTAAGGAGAGAGTTAAGAGAGTTAGGGCGAATTGATTCATGCTTGGAGAGAGTGTTAGAGCAGTGGTTCTCAAACTGTGGTCCCCAGACCAGCAGCAGCAGCAGCAGCAGCAACACCTGGAAACTTGTTAGAAATGCAAAATTTTGGTCCCCACCCAGATTTACTAAATCAGAAACCCTGGGGTGGGGCCTTGCAATGCATTTTTATAAGCTCACTGGGTGATTTTGATGAACCTAAAATTTGAGAACTACTTTGATAGATAAACTTGTTAAGTGGTAAGGCTTTTCCTGTCAGTCATAGTATCCTAAATTGCCTTCTGGCTGTATTTGGTATAGAGCTGCAGCTCCCTCTGCTCAGGCCTTAGTGACTTAAGCCATTAGACCAAGGAGTTCCTTTTCACCTGAATGAAGAAAATGAGGAACCAGCTGAGAGTGTTCTAGGGTGAATATCCTTGGTTAGGAAGAGCAGAAGTTTAGAGACTCATAAAGCAAGCAAAAAGATATTGGTCTGTCTCATTTCATGAAATTGTGAATAAGAGATCAAGATTGTCATGGATGATGGTGAACATCAATATTTGTTTCAATTTTTGGTAGTGGTATTGGGCAAAGTTGCCAATTAAAGTGCTGTTAGATTTCAAATTTGTATATGATTTAGCCATTACAGACTTGTGGTTTGATCAGAGCCCCAAAATTATCTGCGATGATGTCCTTTCTGAAACCCAATCCAATAAGAAAGTAAATTTAAGGAGCAATTTTAAATTAAATAAATTTAAGATAAATTAAGAGGAATGACATGTATACACCGATGTGTATAAAATTGATGACTAATAAAAAAAAAAAGAGGAATCAGGTGGGGCTGGTACACCCAGGGGAGTTTTTGGTCTTCTGATCAATATCATAAGGTTTGGTGTAGTGGAAAGAGCTTCGACTCTGGTGTAAACACAGGCTCACATTCTAGTCCCACTTACTTGCTGTGAGACCTCAGGCAAATCATTTGTTCTCTCAATACAGTCATTTGTACTTTCCTAATTTGTCAAATGGGGATAATTATGCCAAATTTTTAAGATTCTCATACTGATTAACACAAGTAACATATACACAGGCCTGTGCGTAGTAGGCTCTTAATAAATATTAGTTCTCCCCTTATTCTGTTCTTCCAGGGACCTTTTCTCTCAAAATGAAGATTATCCTAAAAAAAAGAATCTATCATTTTTTGTTCTTTCTTGTGCTCAACAAGTACTCATTTAAAAAAAAAAAAATCATATCTGGGATTTTATAGTTAGGGAATTTAAAATGGCTTAGCTACAAAGAACATGAACAAATCCAAATAATTTCCAAAGCTATTATCTTAACACCATCTATATGGATGACATTTGCGGGGAAATACAGAAATGATTCACAACTGAGGGCTGGTTCAGAGGGCTTGTTTTCTAATGGGGAGATCAATATGTAACAATCTATTATGAAGACCAGAGGAAATAAGGTAGAGAGAATGAATTAAAATAGATGTGGAAGGATCTCTGACTTCTTTTGGGATCTAACTAACCTAATTTTTTTTTTTTTTTTTCCGGTACGCGGGCCTCTCACTGTTGTGGTGTCTCCCATTGCGGAGCACAGGCTCTAGACACGCAGGCTCAGTGGCCATGGCTCACGGGCCTAACCGCTCCACGGCATGTGGTATCTTCCCGGACCAGGGCACAAACCCGTGTCCCCTGCATCTGCAGGCGGACTCTCAGCCACTGCGCCACCTAACTAACCTAATTTGATTGCCTGATTCTTGGTCCATGCAGTGGTGATTTTCTGTGGCATTGTCAATATGACACTTTCAAGGGTCACATTCCAATAATGAACCTCTTCTCCATTTGCTGACACATCTGTCGGCATGCAAATGTTAACATCACTAACCCCCTTTCATCTTCTATTCAAATTCAAAAATAAATTACCTGTTCTCTCTAGGGTCAAACTCCCACATCTTGGAGATGAGCAATGATAGTAAATTACTGAAAATAACAAGTGGATAAACAAATAAATTGAAATGGTCTCTGGGGAAATGCATGAGGCATAATTGTCTATTAGGTATACAGCCAGTAGTTTGTTCTCCGACCCTTCTCATCTGTTCCATCAGCCTTCCCAGGAGAATATGTCTCTCCAGCTCCTTTCTCTACACTGGTCACTCTTATCATGCGTTAGCCCATAGCATCTTTCCATGATTAATAGGCAGTCACCTCTGTGCAAGATTTTGTTTTATATCTTCTGTGGAATATTTTTATGAATTGTAAAGTTATCAGATTTATCATGGCATAAAAGTCTACAAACTAGCTCCTGTTTTTTCTTCAGCTACATGCCCTGCTACTTCTAACTTCCTGTATACATGTACTTGGTTCTTTGTCATACTGGGCTCCTGGCAGTTCCGTGTTCCTTTTGCTCTGTGAATATTGCTCTATGTACCTAGAAGGGCCAACCTACTTCACTCATCTTGAAAATTCATTCTCCTGAGTCAAGTATCAGATTAAACTCCTCTTCTAGGAGAACTTGCCTAACATACCCTGCTAATTTTATGTCACCATGTTATATGCTGCCACTGAATCTTGAACACATTTCTGTTATACATACAGCCTTGTATATCTTTCTGTACCTGTGACTGACTATTCCATGAACTATGTGAGAGCAGGAACTATATGTTTTTTTCTACATTTTTAACTCCTGACACTCTAGGAACCCAATAAGTTTCTGATACATAAATCAAAGAATCAATCAGAGTCTATGCCTCCATTAAGGGAGAAAAGCTGTACACATAAAAACAAATATTTCATTTATTTATTCATATATATATTTAGTACCTTTCTCCCTGTGCCAAATGTTGTACTTGGCAGGAAGAATAAAAGGATGAGTAAACGTGATGCTTGACCTGGAGGAGCTCACTTTCTCATGGAGTAGCAGACATGTGATCCCTCATTTCAGTGATGCTAAGACATTACTGATCATCACATGTGCCATTATGTTATGGACAAGCACTCATTCTAAAGGAAGAATTCAAATCACATTCCCACCCCAATCTCTGTAACATATAGTTGAATGTAGCTTTCCTATTCACTGGGTCCCTTTCAGAAACCAACAAATAAATAATGTGATTCTTTGCCCTTTCATTTGACTCTATTTGATATGCAACAAGGTCATTATGATTCTGGGGGCCCTGAGGAAATAGAAGACTCCCTATGCCAGTCACACCTTCCACAAAACACAGTTTTTGAAAAAAGCAAGCAGATCACTCGACACCTAATCAGCAACAATCTTGAGATGGGACTAGAAACCGAATGTCAAAACCTGCATAAAAAGATGAACAATTAAGAGTAAAGCAGTGGTCTGAGAAAGTTGATTTTCTTGGTGACAGAGCTGAAACCTGTGTTCCCAGTTTGACTAACCCAAGGACACAGAGTGTAGGTTAGGGGCTGCCTGAGCACTTGGCTCCTTTTTTTTTTCTTACCATCTTTATAAATTCCCTGATTGTTTTAGTGGCTCTGTAGTTAATTTTTTTCTAATGAGACTAGGTTAGCTAAAGTCATCTGACATGGAAAAGGAGGAGGTATGGTTAAAAAGGAAGCTAATTAGCAAGTTAATTATAGCAGGTAAAAAAGTGCACCGGTTATATAAATAAGCTATTGTTATGCACATGCAAGTTGGGCCTTGTCAAGGGACTTGTTAAGGTTTAGAGGTCAGAGGATCCGTGTAATTAGGTGTTTAGGGAAAAAATAATAATAATAAAAGCAAAACAGCTACCAGAATTAGGAATAGCTGATGAGCCACTAACAGAAATGCCTTATTAAATTGGGCTCTACTGCTGGAGGGGTCGTTGGAGTGCTTCAGGGTTTCCAGGGAAGGCACCACCACCAAAACAACGAAAAGAAAAGCTAGCTGGAACCAGAGCCAACAGAATTGCTGATGAGGAAAGTTTAAAGGCCTAGACACAAGGGCCCCTGGACTGGAGAGGTGGCAGTAGGGCTGGTGATGTCACTATGCTGAGCAACAAGAAGAAATACATTGTCAATGGCAACTCTGGGATTAAAGCCCAGGTGAGGCTAAGCTCTTATTTACCAGTCTTGCTGCCGCTATAGCCACTGTTGTAAAAGGCCAGCTGCTTTTGCCCTCCTTTCCTGCTTTCGTCCCTTCTTCTGGCGTAACGTGAGCTGCTCCTCTCCTAAGTCTCTTTCCCTTCCTCCCCTTGATGCCTGT